TCCCGCCCTCATCCGCCGGCTGGCTGACAGCGCAGCGGCTGTGCCGTTCTGTGGTCGTCCACGCCACTGCCCAGGGCGGCTGGGGTGAGTGGGCTCCTGGTGGGCAGAGACAGCGCCCTGTTCACCACGCAGAGCCCACAGTGCCACCAGGGGCTGGGCACACCGGCCACTCGGTAGGGGGTCTGCTTCACCGAATTAAGAGTTGAACAAGGAGAGTCTCTGTCATTCTCTTTATTATTTTTTAGTAGGTAATAATTCTCTGGATTCAAAAGCCAAATGTTCTAGAAGGTTCTGCAGGGAAAGCTTTCGACCCTGGTCCATCCCCTTGTGCCCAGCTTTGTGCAGGACACGGTCCGTATACTGCTTTCTGTGTCCTGCAGCTTAATGCACACACAAGCAATAAAAAGCTCCTATGCACTTTTGCTTTCAATGAGCAGTGTGTCTTAAAGATCGTCTCATATTGGTACACAAGCCTTCCTCATTCTGTTCTTCCTCCCCCATATTTATTTAACCAATCTCTCTCTCTCTCTCTCTCTCTCTCTCTCTCGTTTCTTTGTTTTAAATACCACTAGGGATTACATCCAGGGTCTTTGCATTGAGCTACAACCCAGCCCTTTAAAAGCTTCTCTTTTTGAGACAGGATCTCCCTAAGTTCCCCAGGCTGGGTTTGAACTTGTGATCCTCCTACCTCATCCTCCCCAAAGCGGTCTCTCATGATGGACGATCAGGCTCCTCACTTTTCGGGTAGGCAGTGCTGGCCCTGGTGTTCCGCAGATGAGAGGTTCCGGTTCTGACCCTGCCTCGTCTCCGTACAAGCCCAATGGCCTTGGATACCTGGTGTCCTCAGTTCTCACACTGTATGTGTTAGGTATTAGTTGTAGTCTGCCACCTTGGTGGTGAAAGAAATATAACTTTGTGTTATCACTTAGCTTCCTTCTCTAATTTCTGCATCCAATTGCTTGTTGCACTGGAACGGTGGAAAATGTCTACCTCAGCCCTGGGACCCCTCCTCCCCCAGGTGTGTGCGGCAGCTTGGGCAGGCTCGCCGGTGCTGGGCAGGGGCGGGGGGCACACCATGGGGCTCCTGGTCAATGGCACTGCAGGACGACGGCCCTTCCTC